TAGGTAGATGTATGCCAGGCGCGTCGCAGCGTAACAGTGTTTCGTGAGATATCGCGAAGCCTGTTACGCGAGACGTGGTCTGGCGTACATCTACCTAGTAAATCTAAATATGGTTTTAAAAGTGCACTCAAAGCCTCTTTACTTGATAAAGAATTCGACGAGCTAGATGAATTCTATAATATGTGATATTTCTATCTCTTATATGTCTGTGATGTAATGTCTGTGATGTAGAGACTTCTGCTTGCTCTGTAATGTTCCTGTTTTGACTATTCCATCTCTATGTACCTTTTTGGATATGGTGATCGGAAAATCTGAATCTAAGTAGTTGGGCCTGCGGCGCTGTCACCTGAGACGAGTTAATAGGAGTGTATGCGGAAATAGGTCCTTCCGGCCGCCAAATTTTACTTGCTCGCAACATTTGTCAGTGAGTTATGACTCCAAAATTATGGAATTGAAATTTCTAATATTACATAAAAGTGTTAATTAAAAGTTCTAATTTTGACAGATTATTATGTAAATATCAACGTTGCAGTTATAGTAGATTATCAAGGGACCCTTGAGCCCAAAAGAGTATGTGGTTCGACGCCAAAGGTGTGGTTAAAGTATCTTCTCATTTACAATTTTTTGATGTAAAGGCTTTTTTTCCGGTTTATTAGACCCACCTCATTTCCGCCAAGAAATGTCCCCTAGCACCCAAACCGTACAAAATGGAGCAAAACGGTCAAATTTTTTTGCCTGCTCTGCTTCGCTCCACCGGCAACTCGGTTCGGCAGGGAGCGGGCGTAGCTTGGCCCGCCGGCGGCGGCGTTTGGGATGGACCTTCGGCCTGTCACCTCAAGATTTTTTTTTTAAACAAACCAGTTTCTACCACACGGGCCGCGCGCGGGGGGCCAGAGCGTCACGTCGCCGCGACCACCTGTTGCATCTCAATTCCACATTACCTCAGTACTGCCAACAATAAGCACTGTGTTTTGGTATAAGCTGTCTTGGGTTCGAGAGCAATGGCAAATAACTTTGCTCTCAAAGTAATAGACTGAGCTATTAGCGAATCCTATTACTCCGTCTGGTGGGAAATTTTTTTTACTGTCTGTCCTTGCGTCTGCAGGATAACTCGAGAACGAATAGGGTATCCCCAACTATCCAGAACGAAGGTAGGAAAAGAACAAAAATCCTGACTTTTCTGTTTCCGTGATGGCTCTGATTGGTTGAGCTTATCACGTGCCACGACGGCAAATCTCTCTCTATCTCAATTTTTTCTCGAGTTATCGTGCGGACGGACATAGAAACAGAATGAAGCTTTTTCGGTCAGTGAAGTAATGGGCTTCGCTAATCGCTCAGCCAATTAAAGTTGTAGACCTCTCGTTTCTAGGGTTATCTTTGTTTGATGTACTAGTACACTTCTTCCACATTTTTAAGGCAAGGAAATTCTTCTAAGACAAGGTGACTGGTTCAACTTTTAACTTCTTTGATTTCCTCACAGGTTTCCATTATTTTGGCTGATGGCACGCCGGACTTCTTTGCACTATCGTGCTTTTCGTATCTTTTTATCTTCTTTGTACCTATGTGCCTCGCGGGTCAGCGTCTTGAGGATACCGGCGAATGCGTGGCTCAAGGGACATATCGAGTAAGTTTTAATGTCTTTGAATGCCAGAGGCAAGTAGAAGGCCAGGCGTCCAACAAACCCTATGCGTTTTAACGACTAAGTTTGATCTGCGCGCCTGTTACACACGTTGGATGTTGGTCGGTGTGCTTTGTTTTCAGCAGGTCCGACCTTGGGGCGAGATTTTTGATCGACCGGGGTCAAGTTGGGTCTGGAGCAAGCCCTTGCCGGGGACAACCGAGTCCCTCCCGTCAAATAACGTTTTGACAGTGCATTTGGACACCTATCGTGGACGTACACTTAAAACGGATAGCAGAGCCTGAAAGCACAGTTTTTTCCGGTCAGAATGGCGTAATCGGATTGTTAAAATCCGCGATGGGCCCCACTGTCGTAAAGTTGGCGGGCATGTAAACACGTCGTTCGCGCCCTTAAAGGGTGGCGCACATTTTTTGCCGCCTTGGCAGTTCAAAAGCACAGAAGCACAGTTTTTGGCATGCTAAGATTTAATTGTGCGTCATTGGGTGTCGCTGGCGTGAACTTAGCGGGGCCCTTGTTAATTCGAGTTTGCCGTTACGAAGGAGTGGCAAACAGTTTTTGGCTGAGCGATTAGCGAAGCCCATAACTCCACTGACCCGAAAAGTTTCATTCTGTTTGTTTGTCTGTTTGTCTGTCTGTCCGCACGCCCGTGTTAAAAAATGAGCTGATCCGATTCTGCGGTTAACTGATATTTTACTGATGTACAGCGACGTGGAGCTGACGTTAACTGAAACTAAACTACTTGAAGCTGTTCCGAAGCTGATCAAACTGACTATCAACCGACTTTACCAAACCCGAAGCCAACCTGGGACTGACGTCTTTACGCTCACCTGTAGAAATACTGACAAACCTGAGAGTAACTGAACGTAAGTGAAATAAGACTGAACGTCAGCTGCGTCGCACTGACCATCTACTGAGGTAACTGATAGTAACTGATAGTAACTGATCGGGTAACTGATGTAGTACTGAGCGGACCTGGCGCTGGCTGAATTGAGAAACTCAGCGTGACTCAGCAACGGTACAGCTTTCCGCAGTACATTTTTGTTACTGAGTAGAACTGACTCACGCCTGATTCGGGGGGCTGATAGCGGTTCAGTCCACGATCAGGTAACGGCAGTGATCATCTGTACTGAATCGAACTGCTGTTTGCTGAGTCGTGGCTACTGAGGTCCACTCAGCTGACGTCCAGCCAAAGGCAGTCAGAGCAGAAGCG